TGTGACCCTATCACAAGCCTACTCCTTAGTGCATAGTGAAGAGACTAGGAGAAAGGTTATGATGCAGCATCAGCCCTTCCCACCAGCCTTGGCAACAGTCAAACCTAAGTCTGGGGGTGATATGGAGAGGGATATAAAGAAGGAAGACAACCGAGATCTAGTATGTGAACATTGCAAGAAACCCAAGCATATTAAAGACACCGGTTGGAAGCTGCACCCTCATTTAGTCCTAGCAAAACTCAGGAACAAAAGGGGTAATGCTAATATGGCTGTTAATGCTGATTGTACCTCCTCATCGAGCACAAAAGGCACACCTCTAGACACCTTAGCTGCTGTCCAAGCTACCTTGACTCAGTTGGAAAAGGAAGTTGGCAATTCAGCTCAACCATCTCAGCCGCCATTAGCTCCCACATCAGCTTTTTCTCATTCAGGTACTCGGGCCTCAGCTTATCATGCTTCAGCTCTAGGTAACACTGAACATTGTTGGGTAATAGACTCAGGTGCATCTGACCATATGACTGGCTTGCCATCATTGTTCACTACTTATCACTTTTCTTCTGGCAGAGATAAATTGTCCATTGTTGATGGTTCCTTTGTTCCAATTTCTGGCAAGGGAGAAATCAAGTTGTCTAATGCCATCTCCTTATCTTCAGTTCTACATGTTCCTAAGGTTAATATTAGCTTGCTTTCAGTCAGTAGCATTACAAAACATCAGAATTGTTCAGTAATCTTTTTCCCTGACCGATGTGTTTTCAGGACTTGGAGACAAGGAAGGTGATTAGGACTGGCCATGAGATGAATGGGATCTATCTGCTTGGAGAGAGTTCACATTGGGAAGAAAGTGAAGATAAGAAGTTTTTTGTTTCTCAGTCTGTTAGTCAGGTTATACTTTGGCATAATCAGTTGGGTCATTTATCTTTTCGGTCTTTGAAGAGTTTGTTTCCTAATTTATTTGAGTCTGTTCATATGCCCAGTTTGAGATGTGAGAGTTGTGAGCTTGCAAAGCATTGTAGAACATCTTATTCATTGGGGGGTACAGATATTTCTTGTTGTTAGTTGATGACTATACCCGTTTTTCTTGGGTTTACCTTATGCGTTCTGGAGATGACGTTCCTGCTTTGAACGGATCTTTCATTAGATGATTTTAACCCAATTTGGGGTCAAAATCAAAATCTTCAGATCCGATAATGCGAAAGATTACTTTGCCAACCAATTAGCCTCTTATTTGCTTGACCATGGGATTATCCATCAAAGTACTTGTCCTCATACACCACTGCAGAATGGGGTTGCTGAGAGGAAGAATAGGCACATATTGGAGGTGGCCAGAACCATAATGTTTAACTCCAATGTGCCTATTCGTTTCTGAGGAGATGCTATTCTTACAGCAGTGTATCTCATTAACCGAGTTCCTTCACGGGTTCTTGACATAAGCCTCCATTTACCCTCTTATACCCTGATAAAGACTTATTTACTATTCTCCTTAAAACCTTTGGTTGTACTTGCTTTGTTCAGATTCTTGGACCTCATCGTTCCAAATTTGATCCTAAGGCCTCCAAATGTATTTTTCTTGGTTATGCACAAACTCAGAAGGGATATTGCTGCTATAAACCCACTTCTGGAAGAAGATTTGTATCTATGGATGTCACTTTCTTCAAGAATGTACCCTATTATCCTAGGGTTTCTCCTCAGGGGGAGAGTAGTGAGTTTGGGGTTAACTCATCAAAAGTTCCTTTACCTATTCCATTGAGTGGTGAGGGATGTAATGGGGAGGGGTGTCAGAGGTGCTGGGATTTAAGAGTCTATCACAGATAGTAGCGGTAGGTTGATTTCGATCATCAGCAGTCCAGGCCAGCCCCAGTTCCTTCTGCAAATCTAGATCCAGGTACTATAGTTCCTTTATCAGATCCAGGTTCCACTGAGATACCTTCCATTGTTGAGCCCTTACCTCCTTTGGATGACCTTGACCTTCCCATTGCAGTCCGTAAAGGCAAACGACGTTGCACCACATCCACAGCCCACTGCATTTCCCAGTTCTTGTCCTATGATCACCTGTCCCCCTCTTATAGGTCCTTCCTCACATCTATTGGTGATATTCCTATCCCCAGAACAATGCAGGAGGCCTTGTCAGTTCCTGAGTGGAAAGATGCAATGAAGGTTGAAAATGATGCTCTTCTGAGGAATAATACTTGAGAGCTAGTTGACTAGCCTAAAGGGAAGAAACCGGTTGGATGTAGATGGGTATTTACTGTGAAACATAATGTTGACGGTTCCATTGAAAGGTATAAGGCTCGGTTAGTTGCAAAGGGATTTACTCAGACTTATGGTATAGATTACTTGGAGACTTTTGCTCCAGTGGCAAAGATGACCACCTTCAGGGTTTTATTGTCCCTTGCAGCCAGTTACTCTTGGCCCTTGTTCCAGATGGATGTTAAAAATGCCTTCCTCAATGGAGACTTGCATGAGGAAGTCTACATGCATTTGCCTCCTGGATTTTATGATGCAGAAACAAGAAAGAAGGTTTGTCGGTTGAATAAAGCCTTGTATGGACTCAAACAGTCCCCTAGAGCTTGGTTTGATAGATCCAGACAAGCCCTTGACAGATTCGGCTATGTACAGGCCCAGTCAGATCATACACTGCTCATTAAGAGAATCAACTCTTCCTTGACCTTGCTTGCTATATATGTGGATGATACTGTAGTGACAGGGAATGATAACGGTCAGATTGAGTGTCTCAAACAACTCCATCAAGAATTTGAGGTGACAGATCTGAGAGAGCTACGATACTTATTGGGTATTGAGGTAGCTAGATCTAAACATGGGATTTTTGTTTCTCAAAGAAAGTATGTTCTAGATTTGTTGGAAGAAACTAGAAAGTTAGGTGTTAAGCCTACAGATACACCTATTGAACAAAATCACATGATCAGTGCAGAGGGTGGAAAGCCACTTGAAGATAAAGCTATGTTCCAACAGTTAGTTGGAAAACTCCTCTATCTGTCTCACACGACCGGACATCAGTTATGCGGTCAGCGTTGTCAGTCAGTATATGCACTCTCCTAGGACTACTCACTTACTTGCAGTTGAGAGGATATTAGCATATTTGAAGAGGTGCCCAGGTAGAGGTATACTATTCAAGAATAATAATCACATGAAGATAGAGGTTTATACAGATGCTGATTGGGTTGGGAGTGTTGATGATAGAAGGTCTACCTCTGGATATTGTGCTTTTGTAGGAGGTAACCTAGCCTCCTGGAGGAGTAAGAAGCAGAGTGTTGTTTCTTGTTCTAGTACAGAAGCTGAATACAAGTCCATGGCTAATGTGTGGCTGAAATCCTATCGTTAAAATCACTATTTGAGGAGTTGGGTATTGCTTATGAGAAGCCTTTAATGCTGTATTGTGATAATCAGGCTGCTATTAATATAACTCATAATCCGGTCCAACATGACAGAACTAAGCATATTGAAGTAGACCGACATTTTGTCAGAAAAAGGGTTTCATCTCAAGAAGTGTGTATTCCGTATATCACCTCCAGCATGTAGCTTGCAGATCTTCTCACCAAGGCGGTTCCAAGGAAGAAGTTAGAGGCAGATCTATGCAAGTTGGGAATGACAAATATCTATTCCCAACTTGAGGGGGAGTGTAGAGAACACTGATGTGGTCCCCACAGTGTTCGTATGACAGCAATATTTCTGTTAGATATGACTGTTAGTTTTTAGTTATTTCAGCTTTATTATTAGTTATTTCTTATTCTATTTGCCATGTAAGCAATAAGGGCAATTCAGCCCTTTTACAGTTAGCCAATAGTTATATAAATACTAAGAGTGGGTCAGCAGAAATTATAACCTTCCCTCTTTTTCTGAAACTCTCTTTGTGTACTTCTCTTCCTCTCTTCTCTTCTTCTCTTCAATTTTTCATCCTTTTTTCCTTCCAAACAAACTATCGTCTTGTCACAGACTTCAATCCTTGAAAGATCCAACATTTTATACCACTTCAGACAGTTCCATGACAATTAGACAAGGGGATCTAGAGTTGTCAAGACTTGCCAATATATGTTTATACTTTTTGGAAATATTAGAATGTTTGACTGTTTGACCAAAAGTTGAGTGATTTATTTCCTTACCCTGAGTCATTGTTTAGATTTCATTAAATTTGTTTTAGTTTTGTCAATTTATTCATGCCCTTATTTTAAGGTTTACAAATTCTCCTTGGATTTGACTTGGATATCATTATAAACATTTTCCATTTAATAAATATGAAGTGATTTTCCTAGCATATTTTTAAATTGTGAGAGGAATTGAGCATTTAGAAGTTCTATTTTAGTTAGGAATTACCTCATGCAGTTTCTAGATGGACTTTACAAGGAGATTGAATGATAATAGAGAGTTTCTGATTTTCAAGAGTTTATCCATACTAAACCTGGTATATGGACATGTCCATCTGACATTATCTTCTTTGATTACCTTATTTCTTTTCTAATTTTCTTTTGAAATAGTAAGGCATAATATATTTCATTCAGAAAGTGTAGTTGTGAATACAGTGGCCCATTTATACAAGATTGGATGCAACTGCCCTTTGCTACTGTTTTTCTTTGCTTTAACTTTTAGCTCAATCAGTCCAAAAATTGGCTGAAATCAGACACATCAATAATCAACAAGTAGTTTCTTTCAACAATGCATTCACTTTTAACAACAAAATTTTAGAAGGTGGTGAACAAACCGTTAAGGGAGCACCTCCACAACTCCACTTACACACAGGATCTTTAAGATTGGTCACTGTGGCCATATAACCATTAACACCAGCTGCAAGAAGATGATAAGATACATGTCCGAGAACCTGTGCACAAGTTGTTTGAACTGGAATAAGTTGGTTTTTTCCCAGATAAGTACAGTTAAAGATTAAACAAAGATAATAAATGCTTACATAAGCATAATCACAGTCAAACTTCGATGGAAGTGATCCTCTAGCCTGATACCCAAAGAAATGGCAAATAGAATTGAATTTCTTCCCACTGTATGTGCCAACCCTCTGTAGAGTTTCATCAAACATTTATTAACATGTCAATATAGAACCAAAGAAAAATTGAATAAGCTTTTTTTTTTATTTTCCAAATTGAATAAGCTCTAATAGAATTTCTTCCCTTCCTATGGTCAAACTCAAATCAATCCTGGGATTGTTTTTATGGCTGAATTAATAAGCTCTCTCACGGACTCAAAATTAAGGCACTTTGCAAACCTTTTCTCCAGGGAAACAACAATAGTGATGATAAAATTGAAAATAACAAACAAAAGAGGCAGCATGGGTATATCCACCTTACCGATCTCAAGTTCATCTCTGTTTCAACTAGTTGAGCCAAAAGTTTTTCTGTTTCTATCTGTCAAATTAAATACAAATCTCAGCTTACTATTGAAACTACTAATGGGAAAAGAAGTTAAGCATGTAGTTCTCAACTTTTTACCTGAGATAACTGTGCAGAATCATCAGATTCGGGGGAAAGAAGAACCTGCATCATGAACATTCTAGTGTAAACTACCATTAAATAGCAAAAGAAGCAAGTCCATATTTAAAGCAAGAATATATGAAACAATTAAGAAAGAAAATGCTATTAATATCAGGGCAACAGTATTTTACTTCAAGCATGTTATTGGGTTCCTACTTTTTTGAGTTTTATCAAGTGCAAATAGTTCAGTCCAAGATAGGATGTTATATCCAATTAGCCTTTCTTGTCTCATTAACAAGATTGGTAAGCACTTAATATTTTATGTAGACATGCTTCCAGAAGAGGTTAACTTGGTTTTCTGAGTCATCAACTAAACATCTCATCTCTCATAGGTTAAAAACTGCTCCTTATTAAAAGGGAGGGTTGGATGAGTTAACTGGTAAGTTCAGAATCATGGTGTTTATCTAAAATGTGTCATTAAGCGAAAACCAATACCCTTCTAAAAACAACTATTCCATAGTGCTAAAAGATACTTTCAACCTCATTCATCTGTTCATTTTGTTCTCCTTTGAAGAAAACTTATTTTCAGTGAAATCAACTGAAAGGGGGAAATGTAAAGAAAATAAAGTATTGACATGGTTTAAAATGTCAACATATTTCCGTTTCCATGGGTACTGACACGGAAAATTACTGGAATTGATATATTTACCAATGAAAACTACTAGTGCCATGTGGAGGAGTATACAAGACGGTATTATGATATTATGAGTTGGCAATAATATTATAGATATGTGGAACAGCAGTATTGTTGCCTGCCTAATGGGGATGATGACCACTTTGATCCACCTCAAAATTATTTTTGGTTTTGAACATAAATATTAGTTTTAAAATAGATTACTAGGTTGATCTATTAGAATTATTTGCACATTTTGTGAGTAAATTCTGCTTGAATTTACCCTATTGTCTAGCTTTAAATGTTACAGTCTACATGGATACTTAATAGACATATTCAAATATAAAAAATTATAAAATATCATTATATATTTTTATATATCTCACAAAGTTCCCATCATATATATTTTTGCAACATTTCTAAACAACATTTTTGACATGTTTCCTACATTTGGATGATTGACATTTCCGCTAACACCAACATTTTAAACCTTAAGTATTGGTCATAGAAGGTTACCTGCTTTCTAATGAATGGTGGCAAGAACTCAAAAAATGCAGTTGCCCAAGGTGACAGTTGTGCTGGAATGTTGTCACTAGAAACCCCTTTCTTATGTAATTGGTGTATTTCCTGGTAAGGTCCCTTCTTGTGGTCAGTAAAAAGGCCAAATAACAGAATAATATTGTCCTATCAACTATGGTTATGAGAAACTGATAATAAAACCGAACATTTTCAAGAACCTAAGACTTTTCTTGTAAAACAAAAGAAAAACAAAAAGTAATTGAATCTGAAGTAAGAGTAGAAGAAGAAGAGAAGCAAGAAGAGGAGAAGAGTAAGAAGAGAGAATTTGAAAATAGGCAAATAGTTCTACTGCTGCCCTTACTTTCTCATATATATACAAAGAGATAAAAGAAAATACAATGACCATAATGTCAAAGATAACAATAAGTTACATAGTCACATACTCCTATAGCTCACGTTCTGTACTATGTATTTCTCAAATAATACCCCCTGGTCGCCCATATCAAGAAATAAAGAATAAACAAATAAAAACTTCTATTACAAGGTCATAACAGAAGCTGTAAACTAAGAAACAAACAATTAAAAAGACTGAACTGATCCCTCAGCACTCATAAACTATAATAAGAAAATAATAATGAATAATCAATAAATAGGTGCCCTATTACCTGCAAGAGAGCATAAACCTCTGGTATGCTTTCAATAAGCCCTTCAGGCAAAAGAATGACCCCATGGTACTTGTCTGAAACCAAACCACTCAAATATTATGCATAATGATGATGATCCATAATATATTCATTTGTTTATTGTCAAACTCAGAATGACAAAGAAGAAAGTATAACCTTGTTCTGCCCTATCTTGAACTGCATCACAGATTCGTTTTGTTATATCGAATAGGGTGAGCTTTGAAGATGCAACCTCCTCACTGAGGATAAACTGAAAATAATACACTAAACTAAGTTATTTTTCAAAGAAATTGAGTAATAAATAAATAAACAAAGTTCTGTATATTTTTCTCAAGAAAAGTCACCATATTTGGATTAGATTGGAGTGCACATTCCAAGACAACATGAGATGTTCTCCTTCCCATAACTCGAATAAAATAATAATACTGCAGAGACAAACAAATTTTAGAACCAGATTTCAAGAATCTCATGTGTTTTCTAAAAGGGCAGCCCAGTACACGAGGCCCCCACCAATGCGGGGTCTGGGGAGGAACAGATTTATGCAGCCTTACCCCTACACATACAGAGTGGCAGTTTCCAAGATTTGAACCCTGGTCACCCAGGTTGCAATGGATCAACCCTACCATTGTGCCAAGGTCCACCTCAAGCTCATGATTTTTCTCATAACACTAAAAATATGATGTAATATTTAAATGTTTCAAGTTAAGGTTCAGATGCGGATAAGGTAAATTATACTGTTGTTAAAATCCTGAACCCACTAGTGCCCTTCCTCACCATTCCAAATTGAAACAAAAAAAGATATTAAAAAGAACATGAAAGGGAGATCTTAAGGTAGAAAAAGCAAGTGGGTCAACCACTTCAACTAGAGAAGGTTTACACTGCTTAACTTTCCTCTGAGAACGGATTAAAAAATTAAGAATCTTCAAATGTCATATTTCTGTTTTAGAAACAGATTGGAATAAATAACATATGTACAGGCATATGATTATACTTCTGCCACTGGTGAAACATCCTTAGAGTTTACCAGGATTCGCTCTTCACAATGGAAACAATTTGCATATAAATATAGTCAAATTACTGCCTTTGAAATAATCGCCTCTTTGTTCATATCACCCTTGTATGGGGTTGTTCACCACTTCACCCTACCAAGCTATCTCTCAATACCATTAGTTATCTATCCAAGAATACAAATGCAGTTACAGTGGCATTAAGGAAATGAAAATTTTTACCTTTTCTGCAGACAGCGCATCAGTGCATATATTGCTGACAAGTTGAGCATTCACCTGAAGAATGGAATCAACTATGAAATATGCCCCTTTTCGTAATCAAAACATAGATAACTGCCTGAATAATCTATAGGTTACAATAATACCATCAGAAGAATAAAAGGCTGAACATGACTCAGAAACTTAATAAGATTCATATTTCATTTCAGATATAACAATAAAAGTAAAATGAGGCACAGGTTGATTTAAGGTAGAGCAAGGTTTCATGAACAAATAAGATAGCATATCTCATGATCATGTGGAACCTCCTGGAATTTATACAAGATTATTGTTATTGTCTCTCAGTTCATCGGTGTCCAATCTTACATTGCTAGGTAGTGAGGAGGAATTAGAGGTACTTAGTAAAAGCATTAAATAGTGATCTACTTTTACTTTTGATCATGAAGAAGAAACCAAAGTTTTAGTTTATCAAGTGTAGAAAACACTGATGTGGGCCCCATGGCTGTGGTCCCCACTGTGTTCGTATGACAGCACATGTAATCTTTGTTAATTATATCAGTATTAGTTGGTAGTTATTTCAGACAGCTTGTTATTTCAACTTATTATTGTTTTATTTGCCATGTAAGCATTAAGGGCAATTCTGCCTTTTCCTACAATTAGTGAACATAACATATAAATATTAAGAGTGGGGCG